CAGTGAAAAAGCAAGCATGGTTATTTAGGGAAAGGTGAAGTGTCAAGGTGATGTTGCTGAATAGGAAGGTGGGCACACCATTCTGTATAAATACTTAAGGCTAAGTCCTGTGTTAAGTGCTAGGAATAGCAGTATTGAAAAGCTAAGGACCATGCTTGTAACTTAGCTCTGAAAAATGTAGAATTCATTCACACTGAGAATCTGTTACGGGCCAAGCACTGGTTGTGGGAGATACCAAGGTGAACAGAGCACAATTCATGGAGATAGACAATGAACACAATGCCAAATGTTAAGTGCTGGGGAGAAAAAAAGAGACTGGAAAGAATGTAGATTGCTGATGGAGCTGCTATTATCTTAAATAGGGAAGCCAGGGAAGGCTTCGTGGGGTGACATTTTCAGAAGGAAATGAGGAAGGAATCCAAGCAGGTATGTGAGGTAAGACTTCCAGGTACTGGAAGGGCAGTTGCAAAGGCCATGACACAACAGGAGGCCTGGCAGTGGTTGAAGTTCAGTGAAAATAAAAGGGAGAGCAGCTCAAAGAGGTAATGCAGACCTATGACATAGGTCTATCTGTGGACTCTTAAAGATCTTCACTTTTACTGAGGTAGACAGTCATTTCAGAGTTTGTAGCAGGGAACTGACATGAATCTAACTTAGTTGCTGTTAGGCTCACACTGACTGCTGGATTGAGCCTGGACTGTAGAGATGCATGGGAGCCGTTGGCAATAATCCAGGAGAGAAACTGATGGCTTGGACAGGATGGTAAGAGGGATGTGGAAAGAGGTGGCTAGATGCTGGATACATTCTAAAGCCAACAGGATTTACTGGCATATTGTCCTGGGGAGGAAGGCTGCTAGTGAGACAAGAGTGGCTCCTAGGTTTTGGGGCTGAATGAATCTTAAGGATGGGGTTACTGGTTACTAAAATGGGAAGAACTAGGGAAGGGGGATTGTCGTGTTGGGGGATAAAGCTCGAGTTAAGTCATCTGGATGAGTCTAGGATTCAGGAGAGTAGTCTGAACTGGAAAATAAGTTTGGGAGTCCTCAGTATGAAGAATTTAAAACCTATAAGACCGCATGAAAAACTGTCATCAAGGAATTGGGTGTAGGTAGAAAAGACGTTCATAGGGCTGAGTCTTGGGACACTCAATCATTTGGGGGGTGGGGAAGTTAGGAGGCGCCAATAAAGCAAATCAAGAAGTACTGGCTAAAGAGGCAGGAGTTGAACTCGGTGATGATCTGGAAACCAAGTGAAGAAACTATTTCGAGTAGACTGATCAATTGTATCAAATGCCAATAGGTCAGGCAATCTTTTTTTTTTTTTTTTTCTTTTAAGGAACTGAGAAGCCTCTGGAGGGGGTTTATAATGGCTGTGGATCGATCAGATTTCTCTAGATCATCTGGTTCCTTGTGCGGAAGGGAGGGAGCGGGGCCACTAGAGCCCGACCCACAACCAACGGGCGTCCTCCTTACCGTGTGACGAGCTGTAGGCCCAGCTGCAAAAGAGACAGGCATTCGTAAGGGACGGGACACACCCGCCTGCCGCTCGCCTCCCTCTCCCCTTCCCTTCTCTCTTACAGGAGGTAGCGGGCTTGGCCCGGGCAGCTATCTTGTAGTTTCCATGCCGCGGCCTCAAGGTAGTGCTTCTGTCTCATCCCCGCAGGTAGCCCACGCCGCAGAGACCCGGTAGCAAAAAGGAGACTCCGGAAGACGGCTTCCTAAAGCGGCGAACTTTGACATCCGGGTCCGACCGTCCTCCGAATCCGACCGTCCTCCGAATCCGACCGTCCTCCGAACCCGACCGTCCTCCGGAGCCAGGCACCCTCGGCTGAAGGGTTCCGGTCCCTCCGCGTCCGGGCGGACGTCCGGGGGCCGACCCTTCCGCCGCCGTTGGCCCCGCCCCTGGGTCCCGCCTGGCCCCCGCGGGCTGGGAGTCAAGTGGAAGTATTCATCGCTCAGTCGCGTCCAGTCTTTGCGACACTACGGACGGTAGCCCACCGGGCTCCTTTGTCCACACAGTGGATTGCCATTCCCTTCTCCAAGGGGTCTTCCCGACACAGGGATCGAACCTGGATCCCCTGAATTGCAGGCAGATTTTTCAGTCTGGGGAGCCACATCACATGGGAGCCTGAGCGGAGCAGCTTGACTGGGCTGGGTTGGCAGCATCGGGAGCCTAGAGTGCGCCCGCCTCCAGCACCGTCGCTTCTAGACTTGGGAGCCCGGGTCCTGACCTGGGCCGCGGCGGCCAACAGTGGCGCCGCTGGGGGAAGCGAGGCTTCGGGTCTCCAGTCCAGCCTGCTCTTAGCAGGAGCACTAACGAGCTTATCTTTATTATTATTATTTTCTGTTTTTAATTGAAGTGAAATTCACCTAACTCGTTAGCCATTTTAAGGTGACCAGCTCCATTGCAATGTTCCACAAACACCATTGTTACTAGTTTGGAAACATTTGTGTCAGCGTAGGGGAAACCTCATAGGCCACTAGGAGTTACTCCCCGTTGTCCCCTCCCTCCCGGCCCCTGGCAACCGCTGATAACGCTTTTTAAAATTTGTTTTATTTTTCGCTGTGCTGGGTCTTCATTGCTTCATACGCTTTTCTCTAGTTGCAGGGAGTGGGGAAGTGGAAGGTGCTACTCTCTAGTTCCCATGCGCTTGCTTCTCATCGAGGTGACTTCTCTTGTTGCCAAGTATGGGCTCTAGGTTCTGCCCGCTTCCGTAGGTGAGGCAGGTGAGCTCAATAATTGTGATGCTGGGGCTTGGTTGCTTCACAGCATGTGGGATTTTTCCGCTCCAGGGATGGAACCCATGTCTCCTTCATGAGCAGGCAGATTCTTTAACAGTGAGCCACCAACCTCAAGTAAATGGAATCATACGTGGGATCTTTCTGGTGAGGCTTCTTCCATTTAGTATAGTGTTTTTGAGATTCATACACTTTTTATTATATATCAGAACTTCATTCCTTTTTATAGCTGCGTAGTGTATATATGTTGTCACCAAGTTGTGTTCGACTCTTTGCGACCCCATGGACTGCAGCACACAAGGGCTCCCTGTCCTTCACCATCTCCCAGTTTGCCCAAGTTCATGTCCATTGAGTCCTTGTTACCATCCAACCATCTCATCCTCTCGCATCCCCTTCTCCTCCTACCTTCAGTCTTTCCCAGCATCAAGGTCTTCTCCAATTAGTTGGCTGTTCACATCAGGTGGCCGAAATATTGCAACTTCAGCATCAGTCCTTCCAATGAAGGTTCAGGATTGATTTCCTTTAGGGTTGACACCTATTTTATCTATTCAGCCATTGATGGACATGTGAGCTGTTTCTGCTTTTTGGCTATTGTGAATACTGCTGTTGTGAACTTGAAGGTGTGTTAGTTTCTATTCTTTTGAATTTATACCTAGCAGTGTAATTATTGGGTCATACTGTAATTCCATTTTTAACAAGGACTCCACATCTTCACCAACACTCATCTTCTGGTTTTGTTTTGTTAATTCTAATCATCCTAGTACGTGTGAAGTGACATCTCTTTGTGGGTTTGATTTGCATAATGATGTTAAGCATCTTTTCATGTGTTGTTGGCAATTTGTATATCTTTGAAGAAATGTCTGTTCCAGTTCTTTGCCCAGTTTTTAATCGGATTGCTTGCCTTTTGTTGTTGAGTTGTTACAGTTTTAAAAAATGTGTTCTGGATGCATGCGTGTGTGCTAAGATGTTTCAATCATGCCCATTCTTTGCAACCATATGGACTGTAGCCCACCAGGCTCTTCTGTCTATGGGATTCTACAGGCAAGAATACTGCAGTGGGCAGTATCCAGTATATATTCTGGATACTAGACTCTTATTTATCCTTCGTTTTTAAAAACATTTTCAGAAAGAAGTCACATGACACAAAAGTTTGTAAAGAGAAAATATCTATTTTACACCAGATTTTAATTTTTCAGAAGAAAAGTTCTTACATATGCTCTTCCCACCTTTCCACCCTATTTCTGTGAGATGATCAACATTGGCAGTTGGGTCTCTTCTCCTTCTATTGCATTACACACATAAGCACAATATATGAATACAGGCATGCATGCTAAGTCACTTCAGTCATGTCTGATTCTTTGTGACCCTATGGACTGTAGCCCACCAGCCTCCTCTTCCATGGGATTCTCCAGGCAAGAGTACTGGAGTGGGTTGTCATGCCCTCCTAACTCAGGGATCGAAACTCCTTCTTTAATGTCTCCTGCATTGGCAGGTGGGTTCTTTACCACTAGCGCCACCTGGAATGCCTGTGAAGTGAAGTGAAGTTTTGCAACCCCGTGGACTGTAGCCTACCAGACTCCTCTGTCCATGGGATTCTCCAGGCAAGAATATTGGAGTGGGTTGTACCATTACCACATACTCAACAACAACAAAACAAGACATATACAAAAAACAAAAAACAAAAGTAGAATATTAGTTCTTTACCACATTACTTGCCCTTTTCCTTAACAACAAGTCACACACATCTCTCCAGTATACTGTGCTTTTAATAGCTGACAATATGACAAAATGTAATGAACCATAGTTTATTTAACCATTTTCCTATCGATGGATGAGCATTCAGTTTTTTTCAGTGCTTTGCTAGTTCTAATAGTGCAGCAGCAAATATCTTGTGTATGCTAATGCTTTTTATTTCCTTTGTCTGAATTCCTAAAAGATAAATTACTGAGTGGAATGATATCCATATTTTAATTTCCTAGATCATCCAAGAAAGGTTGTAGCAATTCACACTCCCAGCATCAATATCTGAGAAAGCTGGGTCAAATTGGATAGGTGAAAAGGCGAAGGTCATTAGCTCACTTAAATACCACTGAGATAAAGCCTCTTTTCATTTATTTCTTGATGGTTTGAATTTTCTTTTGTGAAAAGAAATCTTCATTGGGTTGTTTATCAGTTTCTGGGCATCTTTGTATTTTGGTGAAATTCATCCTCTGCTTGTCATTTATGATGCAATATTTCCTTACTTAACTTTTTTTTTCTTGTATAGAAGATTAAATTTATTGGTCGTTTTGGGGAATTTGATGAATCATTGGTGTATTACAAGTGAGCCATTAATCTTGTAGCTTCATCAACATTAACTGGTATGTTTTCATGACACTGCTGAGATATCAGTTGTTTCTGCAGAGGTTCAAGGGAACAGCCTTTTGAGACGTTTGCCAGTTCCTTTTGTATATTTACAAAAGTTTTATTCACTCTGTTAACTTTTTCATCATTCACAATGTTTATCTTCTTAAGGTTAGTGGTAACTGGTTTTGCTTTGTTTTTAACCTTAAAGCTTTTTTGGCTGGCTATGTGGAGTACATTCCTGGACTTCTCCCCTCTTAGCTTGTTCTTGGTTATTGTCAGGCCTCTGATACCCTGGTGTAGCTTTCTCAAGTTCCAGGTGACGCCATCTGCACGTGCAAGATCCAGCTCCTTACTTAACTTGTATCCTTGGAAGATTTATAGCATTTTGCCCCCCAAGATTTTGTATGTGGTCAGACTCCTCATGATTGAGTCTGGGTTTTCTGTATAGCTTTAAAGGGCCTCCTTTATCTTTATGCTGAAGCTAGACAACTGATTGTTCATCCAAATGTTTTTCTCATACTTCTCTAGCTTGATTTCTTCCATGTACATCTTTAATCCACATGAAATATATTTTCACTTAAGTATGAGATAGAGCATCTAACTGAATTCTTTTCCGGATGGACAAAGATCTCAGATATGCAAATATTCCTTACTAGCTAGTCTTTTTCTTCTGGAATTGAAACTTAAAAAAAATATGCAGTGAACCCTGAATATGTGCCAGGCACTTTTTAAAGCATCTTATTTGTGTGAATTCATGTAATCCTCACAACCCCATGGCATAGGTGAAATGCCAGTGTCTCTGTATGAGTTTTTTAAAATAAAGTTGCAGCTACTTCTAGATTCTCTGTTTAATGCTCTGTGCTCAGTTCCTCAGTGGTGTGACTCTTTGCGACCCCAGAACTATAGCCCTTCTGGCTCCTCTGTCCATAGGATTTTCCAGGCAAGAGTACTGGAGTGGGTTGCCATTCCCTTCTCTAGGGGATCTTCCTGACCCAGGGATACAGCGCCTCCCCTGGGTCGGTGTCCTTTGACCTCTTTCACTAGCCAGTAAAGCAGAAGAGGAGATCCGCATTATATGTGCACGTGCACTCATTCTTCTGGCCCTCAGCGCACTTTCTTTCGCTGCTCCTCTTCTGTCTGCTCTGAGCAGTGCACTCCTGTATCCCGATCCTTCAGGCAGGACCTTTACTTGGATCACAACTTGTCTTCTCAGACATCATGGGGCCCAGATGGCACCCTTGCCCTCCCCTACAACCTGCCCTCCTGCCCAGTCTCCTTCCTTCTCAGCCCCACCAAGAACCTGCTTCCTCTTCCCACCCCCTGGAGTGGCTCCCCACGCTCCACAAATCCAGGTACTGCACACTTCTCCCCACACCTTGGCCTCCCTCTCTTCTTTTGCTTGCTACCTTGGCCCCCAATATTCTTTTCCTGCTTCCCTTCTCCCAGTCCATTCTTCACCAGGCAAAGTGACCTTCTTAAACTGTAAATCATTTGGGGGGAGCTGGAGTGTCCTCTGCAAGCTCCTCATTGCACTTGGAACACAAGCTCCTGGCATTCTCTCCAGGGCCCACATGGCCGGTCAGTGCCCCACCTCAGACCTCACCTTGTCTCACGTGTGCTGTGCTTAGGTGCTCAGTCGTGTCTGACTCTTTGCGACTCCCTGGACTGTAGCCCACCAGGCTCCTCTGACTGTGGGATTCTCCAGGCAAGAAGACTGGAGTGGGTTGCCATGCCCTCCTCCAGGGGATCGTCCCAACCCAGGGATCGAACCCAGGTCTCCCACACTGCAGGCAGATTCTTTACCATCTGAGCCACCAGGGAAGCCCTTGAATACTGGAGTGGGTAGCCTATCCCTTCTCCAGGGGATCTTCCCGACCCAGGAATCGAACCGGAGTCTCCTGCATGGCTGGTGGGTTCTTTACCAGCTGAGCTACCAGGGACTCAGTACTGCTCCTGCCATGCCAGCCTTCTCTCTGTCACTTAACATGGCCTGCTCAGATCCACCCAGGCCCTTGACTTTGAATGAGGATCCTTTCCACAGCTACTTTTCCTCCTCATTCAATCTTGGCTCAGATATGACTCTCTCAGAAAGGCGTTCTTTGACCACCCCTATAAAGAGCTGTTTCTGGACCACCCACCAAGTCACTCTCTGCCATGACTAGTTTTTATTGTCACAGTAACCCCACTAGCTGAAATTGCCTTATTCATTCATGGGCTCCCTGGCCTCTTGCTGAATGCCTTGACAGCAGGACTTGGTCTGTCCTTTCTGTAGCTGTTCATGCAGACCCCAGTGCAGACTCTGGCAACAGAGCAGGGGCTTAGTGTGGATTTGCTGCAAAATCATACTGGAAGGAAGGGAAGTTGAAGGAAGTTGAAAATAAAATAGATTGGCCTTGAGTTGACAATTGTTGGCAGTAAGTTTGTTATGTTTATTTATTGATTTAAATTTTTTATTATGAAAAATCTCAAACATATGCAAAATAATCACCATAATATAATAACTTTCATACATCCATCACACAGTAACTCTCAGCATTCTTGTGCCATCTCTGCCTCTTCCTACCCCCTTCAATTATAGTAATTGTAAACATTTTTAAAGGCATGTTGTAATGTACAAATCTTAAATGTACAACTTAAAAATGAATATACTCTTATTAAGATATAGAACATTTCCAGCCCCCTGGAAGATGAACTGCAGACTATCAAGATTTCCAGCATCCCAGGAGTCCGCCAGTCTTCCAAGTGATCTTTCTCAGTCAGTTGCCCCTCAAGGAGGCCACCACTTTGCTTCTGCTTCTCCTTCCCCTTTCCCTTCCCCTCCTTCTCCTTCTTACTGTATTTTAATTTTACCTTTCCAGAATTTCATGCAAATCATATAATAAACACCTTTCACATAGATTAGTTATGACTTTCTAAAACTTCACATTAATGGAAAGAAATAGTATGTACTTCCTTTACTGATTTTTTTGCTGGGTAATATTTCCTTTTATGGTTATACTACATTTTGTTTATCCATTCACCTGTTGATGGGCATCCAACGGTTTCCAGTTTTTGTCTATCATAAATAGAGCTGCGATTAACATTCTTATACAAGTCTTTTTGTAACCAGTGTTTTCATTTTTCTTGCATATATAAGAGTAGAATTTTAAACAGCATGTTTAACTTTATAAGAAATGGCCCAAATGTTTTTCCAAGGTATTTGCACCATTTTGAATTCTCATCAAGAATGTATGAGAGTTCTATACAGTTTTGCTATTATTTGGTGTTATCAGTCTTTTAACTTTTGAACCATTGTCATGGATATAGAGTAGTATCTCTTTGTGGTTTCAGCATTCACTTGACTGGTGAATAATGACATTGAGCTCTTTTCACGTGCTTACTGGTTATCTATATGACTACCATTGTGAAGTGTCTTTTCAGATCTTGCCCATTTGAAAAATTGTCTTCATTTTTGTCATCAAATTGTATGAGTTCATTATATATTCTTAATAAAAATCTTAACTAACTATTCTCTTAATGGTGTCTTTTAATGAACAGAAGTTTTAATTTGGATGAAACCTAATTTGTTAATTTTTGTTATTTTTCTTGTATGGTTATTGCTCATCTAGCCCTAAATCATAAGATATTCTCCTATATTTTCTTCTAAACAGTTGGCAATTTCATTTTGATATTTAGGTCAATGAGCCATCCCAAATTAACTTTTGTGTAGTATGAGGGAGGGGTGTTGGTAGTTTCAGCAACATTTGTTGTAAAGACTGGCCTTCCTGCATTGACTTTATCTAATACCTTTGTCAAAACCAATTGATCATTAGCTGTTGGTATATTTCTAGACATTCTAGTCTGTTGTATGGATTTGTCTATCCTTATGTAGATATCAAACTGTCTCTTTATTTAATAGAACACATAGCTTATTTATTTATCTTTATTGATGTGTGTATTATTTAATAACTTTTGGCTGTGCTGGATTTTTGTCACTGCACCCAGGCTTTGTCTCATTGCCATGAGCAGGGGCTACTCTTCGTTGTGGTGCACGGGCTTCTCATGGAAGTGGCTTCTCTCGTTGCAGAGTAAAGGCTCTAAGTGAACATGCTTCAGTAGTTGCAGCTGACAGGCTCAGTAGTTGTGGCACACAGGCTAAGTTGCTCAGCGGCATGTGGGATCTTCCTAGACCAGGGATTGAACCCATGTCCCCTGCATTGGCAGACAGATTCTTATCCACCATACCACCAGAGAAGTTCACCATACTGTCATAATTTCTATAATTTCGTAAGAACCTTTGAAGTCGGGTAGTGTAAGCGCTACAGCTTTGTCCCACTTTTCCAAGATTGCTTTGTCTATTCCAAATCCTTGTCTTCTCCATATACATTTTAGAATTGTCCTGCCAGTTTCTAAAAGAAGCCTATTTGCATTGAATTGTAGGGAGATCATTGTGGGGAGAATTAATATCTTAGAAATACCAAATTTACATCCATAAATGCAGTCTATATCTCCATGTATTTAGGTCTTTAATTTATTCTTGCAATGTTTAGTTGTTTTCACTGTACAGGGCTTACATGTCTTTTGTTCCAAATAGTTTATGCTTTTGATGGTATTGTAAATAAGCCTATTTTAAAATTCACTTTCCCAATATTTGCTGTTAGTATGTTAGTATGATTTTGTTAAACTCACACATTAGTTTTTGAGTAACAGAGTTAAACCCATGATTTAGATCTAGGTTGTTTTTCGTAATTGATTCCTTAGTTTTTTTTCTGTACAAATGATCATGCCACCTGAGAATAAGGGTATATACAGTTCTTCCTTTTCAACTTACTTGCCTTGTGTTTATTTTTCTTCCCTTATTGAACTGGCAAAGACCTCCAATACAATAGAAGTGGCAAAAACAGAGAAATTTACTTTATTTCCAATATTAGGGAAAATATGTATAGTGTTTTACTATTAAGAATTAAGTAGTTGTAAATTTTTTACAGATACCTGCAATAAAATTAAGCAAATTCTTTTTTGTGCCTCATATACTGAGGGTTATGAACAATTTTTTCCATAATGAATGTGTATTGAATATTGTCCGATGCTTTCTTTCCATCAGATAAGATAGTCTTTTTTTTTCTTTACTACCTGGCTATGGTGGGTTACACTGATTAGTCTTTGAATTGTTAACAAACTTTGTAGTCCTGAGATTAAACCATAGTTTTTCATGATTTATTTATGTATAGTTTAATTTGATTTATATTCATATAAGGTCCTTGGCATTAGGGTTGTGCTGGTTTCATAAAACAAGTTGGCAACTGTGCCTTTATCCTTTGTGTTCTGAAAGAGTTTGTGTAAGATTGATATTATTTCTTCTTTAAATGTTTGACAGAATTTACTAATGAAATCATCTTATGCTGAGGTTTTCTCTGGGAGTTTTTGATAATAAATTCAATTCATTAATAAACATAAAGCTACTCAGATACTCTACATCTTTTTAAGTTGGTATTAATTTTGGTAAGTTGTATTTTAGACTATAATTTGTTAGAGGGCCTTTTTTAAGTAAAAAAGAAAAGACCATAGTAGAAAAAAGATAATATATGAATGAAAAAAAATCTCACTGGTAAAGGTAAAAAAACAATAAGAAGCTAGTATGAAGGTTAAATGACAAAAGCAATAAAGTCAACTATAACTACAATAAGTAGTTAAGGGGTACTCAAAGTTAAAGATGTAAAATAAGACATCAAAAACACAAAATGTGGTGATGGTAAAGATTTATGGTGCTTTTAGAATGCACTGAAAGTTAAGGGCTATCAGCTTAAGATAAACCACTATATATATGTCAATATTTAGGTAACCACAAGTCAAAAACCTTTAATAGATACACAAGAATAAAGAGAAAGGAACCCAAAAATGACACTAAAGAAAACCATCAAACCACAAAGGAAGAGATTGAGAGAAGAAAAGTACAGAGAAGAGCTATATAAACTACCAGAAAATAATTAACAAGATGGCAATAAGCACATGCCTATCAATAATCACTGTAAATGTAAATGGACTGAATGCTCCAATCAAAAGACATAGGATGGCTGAATGGGTAAAAAAGACAAGACCCACCTATATGCTGCCTGCAAGAGACTCTTTTCATATCTAAAGACACAGAGAGACTGAAAGTGAGGGCTTGGAAAAAGACAGTCCATGCCAATAGAAATGAACAGAAAGTTGGAGTAGCAATACTCATTTTAGACAAAGTAGACTTTAATGTAAAGTCTACAATAAAAGACAAAGAAGGACATTATATAATAATAAAGGGATCACTATAAGGGGATATAGTATTCATAAACATATGTGCCCCTAATATAGGAGCACCTAAATATATAAAGCAGATGTTAACAAACATAAAGGGAGAAATTGACAATAATTCAATAATAGTAGGGGACTTTCACACTCCAGTTAAATCAATCGAGAGATCATCTACTTATCCAATAAGGAAAATTGTCCTTAAATGATACATTAAACAAGATGGAATATACAGAATATTCCACCCCCAAACTATAGAATACACATTCAAGTGTACATGAAATGTTCTCCAGGATAGAACACATGTTG